TCTTCATCCTGTACAGCCAGGGAAGGAAGGAGAGTATGGCCATCAGGGGTAGGGGGGACCCTGGCCATCATTGCCACCCCTAGAGAGAGGGTTCCTGGTGCCCATTGGCACTGCTCAGGGGAGTCCACCCCTTGAGACAGCCCCCCTCACTCCCTATATGCAGGGAAATCCCTGGCAACCTGGCCAGCAGCTGGTGTCTCCAGGAGAGCAGTGGAACAAGCCCAGAGATACCAGCTGGCCTGGCTGCCAGGCTTCCAGAGCAAGTTATAGCGGTCCCTGTCTCCTAGCTTCTGCCAGTGCATAGAAGCTCAGAGCCCCCAGCATCAAACAACAAACATCTGTTTACTTTTGATGATGCTGTAACTTTAAGCACTTTTAAAAAGTGCTTAAACTTACAGCATGATTGATAACTTTTGTAAATGCCCATAGCCACGAGATGGCAGTGTTTCTTGACTTTACCATTTGAGTTCCATAACCAAAAATCATATTTGTTTCCCTCTAATTCTATTTTAAACATTTTGTTTCTTATTTAACTTCTCAGGTCTCATGCAGGCTGAGCTTTCAAATAAGTGTTTGGAGTTAATGCATGCTTAATGTGGTGATATGTAACAGCCCCCTGGCATGAGTTAAGAATCACAGCAGCCTTCTCTTCTCTGTTGGGAGGTTATTTTCCACAGCCTTAAACTTATGTAAACACAGTATTTTTCATTAAATTGAAAAGAACAAATATTATATGATGTTTCTTAACCACAAGATAAATTGTTTACCAGTTGCTTTGGCCTACGCATTTGCTCTGTAGAACAGTATGCAAAGAAAAATCTGAATTTGAAGCAGTTTTGTTTTAAATGCTCTGAATTTATTAGGCTTTTGGGACCTGTTCCATTAGGCATATGCTTAGCTTCATGCACCAGGAATAGTCTTATAGAAATTGATGGGACTCTTCTTCTGTGCAATATTAAGCCCAGACATAGTTTTTGCAAGTTCAGAGCACTGCAGACATAGGTGACTGGTGCCTCCCGTGTCTGGAGGGGCACCAGATTGCCAATGTGGGGTGTGGGGAGAGGCCAGTTGCCGAGCCAGTGGCGAAACCAGAAATGCACTTCCGCCAGCACTTCCGGTTTCGCGGCTGGCGCTTCCAGGGGGTGCACGTGCACCTGCGTGCACTCCCTACTCGTTGCCAGTGATTGCAAAGGGCATCTATAGACGTGCTGTAGGAGTTGGGGGAGCTCACTTTAATTTACTTGTCAAAAAACACCCCAATCACCATTTTTCAGCATGGGGATGCTGATATGCGTTGCACTGGAGTCTGCTGGAGCACAGTAATTACCACACTCCTGCAGACTCATTTAACCTGTGAGAGGATTAATCAAGTCTGCTCCAACATAATTATAGCGCATCAGAGCAGCCCCACTGCATGTTTATAGGCACCCAAAGTGCTTAAGCACTGACACGTCTCAAATTTGACTCTCAGGGTTTACTGGAAACAAATCTGAAGGCAAAGTAGTTTTTAAATGTTAAGTGTAGAAATGTGAGTTTGGGTTCATTTTTCCATATTAACAAGGTAAAAAGGTCCTCATTTGAGTCTTCCACTGACCTGTTAGTTGCCAAGTTTAAATCAGATTATTTTTACATCCAAAAAATAAGATTTCCATCCCCTTGTTAATGGCAATGGGGATCCTGAAAGGAGTCTGCCAGGGGCAACATTTAGCATGGCACACATGCTAGTGGTTGCTAATGATCACTGCTAGCACAGAAACCCTGGGACTAGAATATGCACCACATACTTGGAGCACTGCCATTGTCTCTTGAGATCAACCTTTGTTGTTTGCATTAAAGCACATGCTTGTACTCGGTCTCTCTGGGGGCTGCGCTATATTTGCCTCTGGCTAGACCTGGGAATTAAAGATGTGATGATGGGTTTTTATCTCCCTCCCTCAGGGTATTGGAGGTGTTGGAGAGAAAGGAGAAAAGGGTGTCCCTGGTTTGCCTGGCAGCAGGGTAAGTAACGTTACAACACCCTTAAATCCCTGTTCATGAAAATGCTGTATTTTTCACATGCTGCATGCATCCAATGCATCTTTTTTTGTAAGAGCAGAATGAGAAGAAAAAAGATTTGTCCAGAGTCATGGCTGAAACCTGACTGCAGGGGATCCTTACCACATGACTGAATCCTGACCCTTGCTGCTCAGCCTAAGCTACAATTTTAACCATCTCGCAGCTACTGCCGAATTGACTGAAGCTTTTGGCTACTGAGCCTTGGTTTGGGACCGTGTCTTGCTCTGTGCTGTTCTGTGGATTGGTTTTTTTTTGGCCCCTGGATATCCGGGGTCTAATTTTCTCCCTGTGCTGCAAGTTTGCCGCATGAGGAACATTTTTTCGTTCCTGCATGTGCCTCTTGCCCCGCCTCAGAGGGGTTTGAGATGGGGCAGGAGGCACGTGCGTGCCCAATGTGGGCAGTCAGTTTGGGAGTGGATTATTGGTCCTTTGTCTACTATGAAGTGAAATCTGTAGTAGATTACAGAGGCTGCCCCTTATGGTGTTGAATGTAATTGGATTAATAATAATAATAATACCTATTTTTGCAATTTTAGGGCTTTTCATCTTTGGATGGATCTGATGGAATTCCAGGGAGAAAGGTAATTTGGGAAGTATTTTAACTTCTGGAGATGTCACTAAAAATCCCTAGAATTTGCTCCTATTTTCTCTTGCTGTCCATGCTCCTTAACTTCCTATTGCCTCTCTGTCATGTTCCCCATCTCTGACAGAAGAATCTGGCCTCGCAAGGAAAGGTGGCAATGCAAGTTGTTCAAAAGAGCATCTAAACACTAATGAAAGACACTTGCACCATTTTGTCCATTGCTGGCTCAAACAGTTGCCTCCATAAAGATTTGAAATTATGCATGCCTTCCCACTATCATCAACTCTCTTACCTTTAGGGTCATCTCATATATAGTATTCTAGGTGCAAATGATCAGTGCCTTAAGTAGACATAAGGATGTGAAAATCCTTTGTACTCCCAGATATGCCAGTGCATAGAGTCCTAGAACATCCATGTTAGTGGGTTTTTTCATTTGGTGTTAAATACCCTGAGATGCTGGCATGTTCCCTGCATTCATAGGCTGGATGCTTGCTGCTATGTGATAGCCGCATTTTTGCTGATGCTATAGATGAGAGTATTTTCAAATAAATGACTGGAAAACCCTGGCAACAAGGTGTCAGCCAGTGCTGCTCCTGAGGTGTGTAGAGTCCACACTTACTCAAAATTTCAGGGTCACTAGTAAGGTTACAAGCTCTTCTGCTCTAACAGAGTTCTCCTTACCTGTAGATGCAACAGGGGTTATGCCCCACTGTTGACTGGCTTTGATGTTCCCTCTCATAGAGGGCAGTTCTGCATTTACACACAGGGCAGTAAATTACAAGGCCAGAAAAGGAATTTTTGGGGTACAGTGGCAGGGTCTTCTGAACCATATGGTATATTACAAGATGCTACTGGAAGTCAGTGAGTTGGAACCATTGGCATAAATATAAATGGTTTAGCACAGCTGGCTTGGGAGACAACTGTGACACAGGAGAGAAAGAGATATTAGATTCATAGATTGTAAATCTGGAAGGGACCTCCAGCTCCTGCACTAGGCAGGAAACACAACTGGGGTCAGGTGACCCCAGCAAGGTGCCCGTGCAGCCTCCTCTTGAAGATTTCCAGCATAGGTGATTGTACCACCTCTGGAGGGAGCTTATTCCACAGTCTGGACACCCTAGTTGTGAAGTAGTTTTTCCTAGTGTTGAGCCTGAAATGGTCTTCCAGGAGTTTGTGACCATTACTCCTAGTTTTCCCCATCTGGAGATTACATTACATCGGGAGCATATTTTCCTGATGGTCCCACCCCAGATGTTGCCCTGCTTTTCCTGTCTTTGCTTCCCACCGATTGCAGTAGCCATTCTTTCAGAGGACGAGAGTGGATTCATTTTGGAACCTAGTTTGTTGCTGATTAAGAGGGATTTGAGAGACTGAGGTTGCTAATGTTTTCTTTTTGTGAGCCAGACCTATTGGGCAAGAGATTGGGGCAGAAAATTCAAATCTAGGCATTGAAGAGGTCTAACCCTAGCCTCCCAGGTCTCTCCCCTACTGTTTGTTTTTATAGATAAATGTTTTATTTATATGTTCATATATATTTATTTTCCAGGGTCATCCAGGGATCCCAGGTTTTCCTGGGCTTGATGGAGCAGAAGGAATGAAGGTACCTTATCGTATGGGAAAATTTAAACCACTGTTTTTTCAACAGAAAGTTTAAATAAATGTCATCTCTCCGTCAAATCTCTTCCCTTTCTTCTGTATCATGCTAATGTTTTCCTTAATGCCAGGTCTTCATCTCTTTTATTGTGCTTAGTGCTAACTGGTGAACCTTGGGATACTATAATTTTCTCATATGGCTCATCTTATAATTTTATGTGTAGTATTTATTTGTTTGTGTTCCCGTGAACAGAAATGGACGGGTTTTGTTTGGGAGCAGATTCCGGCATAGTGCCAGGCACTCTTTGATCCCTGCTTCCATGACTGTAAGGAATTGTAAACCAACACCAACACGTTTAATTTTACAGGGTGAATTAGGTGATCCTGGTCCTCCAGGTCCACCCATCTATCTTGATGGCGAAGGTGTTGTCATCTCAGGTACATCTGTTAGATTCTGATTTGAAATACAATTTTAATGCTTCACTCTGCTGCTGGCACTCAGCTTTGTATTCTTTCCCCTTAATATGATTTTCTTTGATCTTCTTTCCTGCATTGAGCCTTGAGTCAGATTCACCCCTGTTCTAACCCATTCACTTGGCTGTTGTTGATGTTGGGATAGGAGTTCTGTGAATAACTTTGGAGTTTGCCATAAGTCGCCATTCCTAATGTAATGCAATGTTGTGAGAATACAGGCGCACTGCTTAGGTGTAAGAATGCAAGCAGACTGCTTAGGTGGGGAGTGACTGCATTTGTCACCTTAGGTATTTGAAGCCTGAGACAATATTGGCCACCCTTGGGGCTCATTTCAGCATAGTACTGCTGTTAACAGAAATGTCCTCTTTGTCTCACTTGCAAATAAATAAATGGATGCTTCTTTATTGCTCTTGCTCACCCACTGTAGCAGGATGTTATTAAGGGAAACAGCTTAGTAAATTCCAGCAATATGAATAAGAGCAGCACCTGCAGCCACACAGGCCAGCAATTACACAGGTGCTTCTTATCGGTCACGGTAACCTGCTGGGGGCAGGAAGAAATGTCCACAGGTGATGGTGTTTTGTGCAAATAGATCTACTAGTCAGGGTTCTACAGTGACTGGTGTGGGAGACTGAGGAGTGGACCCAATGACTGTTCCTGACTTCCTGTAATTCTTTTTCTGTTTGTCCAATAGGTTTCCCTGGAGATCCTGGAACTCCAGGAATCCCAGGCCCTCAAGGAGATAAAGGGATAAGTGGCTTACCAGGCCTTCCTGGTGCTGCAGGTGTTACACCCTTTGATCCAGGTAAAGCTCCAGCTCTCACTGTGGAATGCTTTTCATTCTCCGGTCTATAGTTGTCATTCCTTGGCTATGGAACTGGACAGCAGATGATTTGCTTACTAATGGAGGTACTAGCAACTCCATTTCAGGCACTGCAACACCTTGATGGTGTATGAGGACAAGTGCAATAGCTAGAAATACTGGCCAGGTCTACAGGACAAAGTTTTCTGGCAGAGCTATGTTGCCTGTAGGGTGTGACAAGTCATTATTATGCTGGCAAACCCCTGGTGTGGACACAGCTAGGTCAACTGAAGAGGAGTTTTGTTGACTTAGGTCAGTGTTTCCCAACCAGTGCGCCACGGCACAAAAGTGCGCCATCAGAAATGAACAGGTGTGCCATGGAATTTTGCCATTGCAATGAGCAACAATAGGTATGAAGATGGGGAATGCCTTAATGAGTCTGCCGCAGAAATTTTTTATTTATGTAAGTGTGACTTGGGCTGGAAAAGGTTGGGAAACAAGGGCTTAGGTTGCGTGGTCTGAATGAGGTGGTTCAGCAATGCTGACAGAAAAACTCCTCTGGTCACCATATGTTATGTAACTCTGCCAGCATATCTCTGCCAGTATAGCTACAGCAGCTTTATAATGTAACCCTGTGTGGGGAAAAAGCTGCTGTTCAAAAACTGTTTAATAGTATACAATCCAACAGAGAACCTGCACATGTCATTTCCTTATTAGGGTAACCGTCACCATGTGAGGCATATAGGACCTGATTAAGTGCCATAAGAAGTCAGTGATGTTGACTTCAATCGGAACAGGATCAAAACCATAGTAATTGCAACAGATCTCCAGCTGTGTTCAGGGCCTCTTAATGTTTGCTTTCTGCAAACTCTCTACTGAATGAGTTGACTGGCAGAAGTGTTTACAGAAGCAGATAATTTTAAGTGACTACTAGCGTATTCTTGAAAGTTGATTTGTGAATGAACACTGGGAACCCAAAGGTAAAAGGTGGGATGAATGAATCAGGGCACAGAAACAACATTAGTTAACTCATTTGCTTGGTGGAAAGTAATCAACTCTGCTCCAATTCCATATCTAAAGCACTTGTCTAGAAATGATCTGCAGACTAAGAATTATTAGTCAAATTATTTTGCTCACCATTTTCAAATAGGGAAAAAAAATCTAAATTTGTCGTTTGACTTATTTGTAAGGCATTTTTCACTCAGTAACTCTAACAACAGTTTATTCTTATTGTATTTGACATTTGCAGAATCTAGCATGAGTTTATGCTCACTGACCAAAAGGACTTGCACTAGTGTATTGCTTTCCTGGTCAAAGCAGCTGCTTTTTATAACAGCAAAAGTGAGGCCCAGTGATAGTGGCTGCTAATAGATTTTTCCTTATGTATTTACCATATTTTCTGTGCGAAGACAATAGCACTCCATGCACAGTAATAATCTGTATGTGATTAGAAAAACTTCTGGACCCATTTGCAGCTGCTGCAGAGTTGACCAGCTATGTTTATGTTGTCTAGATTCAGCTGGCCCCATGGGGATTCCAGGTACTTCAGGACTGAAGGGTGAACCAGGGGTCCCAGGCAAAGTAACATTTGGATTACCAGGCACACCAGGGAGTGATGGCTTTCCAGGTCCACCAGGACCTCCAGGATTGCCTGGCATACTACGTATGTAAACTTGTTAGATCTGTTTTTATCTATGTTCATGTTTAAACAAATAAAATAGTTTATAGTCTGTTTTATTTTTGACATCACTGAGTAATGTTCTTCTATCTTGGGCACTATCTTGAGTACTTATATGTAGCATGGGAGCCCTTTCCAGTCCATAATGTATTGATCTTCAAAATACCTCTGCAAGATGAGACGTACTTTTATCCTACATTGCAGATGGTGAGCTGAGGCACACAGGAAATAATTAAAATGCCCAAGATCACCCAGGAAGTCTGCAGCAGAATTAGGGCATTGCAACCAAGCTCTGAAGTCCTCAGTTAAACTTCTAACCTAGGGGTGGGCAGTTATTTGGGCCAGAGGGCCACTTAGGGAGTTTTGGTGAGCTGTTGTGGGCTAGGTCAGCACCTCCCATCCCAACCTGCAATAGCTCATTAAAACTCCCTAAATAGCTCTGCCTCATGCTTGGCTGGGTGGATGGGATGGGGCCGCAGATGGGCAGGGAGTGGGATGGGGGACCAGGGCTGAGATCAGGATTGCTGGGTGGTGGCAGTATGGGGTGATGGCCCAGGGCAGAACTGCAGTCAATTCCCTGTACACCCCTGCAACAGGTGCTAGTTCCGCGAGCAGGGACTTGCGGGGTGCAGATCATAGCTTTACCCTGGGCCCTGGCCCCATGCTGTCACCAGCTAGGACCTGTGCAAGCAGGGTGCATGGTTGGGCAGATGGGATGGGGCTGCAGCATCCAGGAGAAGGATGGGTAGGTGGGGCTGGAGGCAGGGCTGGGGCCAGGATCATGGGGCAGTGACAGGGCTGGGGACTGGGGCAGCACTGCAATCTGCTCCCCACTGGAACCATTGCCTATCAAAGGGATGTGCTGAGAGCAGATCCCAATCCTAGCCCCAGCCCTGATTCCTACCCTCCCCACCCGTCCTGCTCCTGGCTGCCATTCCCTGCCTGCCCACAGCCCCATCCCATCCACCTGGATGAGCACCCCTGTATTATTGCATTCTTCTGGTGGTCTTTGGGACCCTACAGAGCAAAACAAAAACGTGGCTGAGTATTATAACTCACAGTAGCAGGCCAAACACTGTTCTTTGCACAACTTGTATCACTGTAGTTGTATCCACTCACATCAGTTCTCAGTCTAGCCCCATGTCATTTCCTTACAATAGCTGTTGTAATAAGCTGATGATTGAAATTTAAGCTGTCTGTGGCTTTGCTAAGTTTCTTTCCATGCACAGGTCCTGGACAGCTACCAGACGTGATACTGGAGGGAGAGCCTGGAAAACCAGGAGTACCTGGACAACGGGGGCCACCTGGAACTATGGGTCAAAGGGGATACAAAGGTAAAATTAACTTTTCATGTTTCTCCTCATTTGTATTCCTTTTTTCAGGTCTGCTTGCTTCTGCTTCTGGCCAAGAAATAAAATCTATTAGTACTAACTACCTTGAGCAGGGAGGTGGGAGTGACTATAGGTCACAGCTTTCTTTAGAAAAGAGGGAATTTTGTTTTGGGTGTTTCTTTAGTTTGGCACGATGAGTTTTTAGCTCTTCAGATTGAAAACTATAGGGCAGGGGTGGGCAAAATATGGGCTGCAGGCCAGATCCGGCCTGCCAAGCACTTGCATCTGACCAGTGGCACCCACCAACTAATTGTACCCCGCCCAACCCTTCTGTCCACAAGGGTGGGAGCGAGGCGCCCACGTATACACACGCCTACCAACATACTCTATTGTCCTCACTCCCACCCTCATGGGTGAAAGAGCCCAGCCAGGCCAGCACACAGCTTCTGGGCCGGGCTGCTGCTGCCACTGCTGCAGTCCCTGGGACACCTGATTAGCTTCCTTTTTGTCCCTCTCGTACCGTGCAGCAGGTAGAAAATCAGCGGGGGCAGGGATCATGGGGCTGGCAGCAGCATGGAGCCTGTGGCCCCGGGGGGCAGCAGGAGTGTGGAACTTGGGTGGGCAGAGTGGGGACCCCCCCACACACTCCTTTCCCCCCAGCATGGTGTGCAGTCCCTGCTGCCGGCAGCACCAGCATGAGGGGGTGTTCAGAGCACTCATGCTCAGCACAGGCACTCACACCCAGTGGTGCATGGGTTCAGCCAGTGCTGCATGCAGGGGCAAAGAATGCGACCTGCCTGGCCTGCCTCTATTGCATGGGCTCCATGGGACACACATGCAGCTCCCACACTCGCCAGCAGTGGGGAAGCCTTGTGCTGGAGCTGGCTGCCTTTCCTGCCCCCTGTTGTGCAGGTCCTTGGACAGTGGAGGGCAGCCCTAGTCCCTGCTTCCCCACAGAGTCCTGGGATGTGTATAGCAAGAGGTGTGGGAAGCAGCTTGCCCTGGTGCTGTGAGAGAGCAGAAACTGCACATGCACCGTGGAGAGCCCCTGCGATAGAGGTGGGCTGGGCCGGCTGCACTCCTCTCCCTCATGTGCAGAACTGGCCGGAGCTGCGCACTGCCAGGTGCCAGCACCTGCACCAAGCACCCCAAGCGCCTCTGCCTGCTGGTGCTGCTGGCAGCAGGGGCTGTGCACCATGGGCAGAAGTGTGTGGGCGTCCCCACATCCCCTTGCCCTCCCTCACACCCAACACCCTGCCCCCACACACCCCCATATATGTACCCCCCCAACATACTCTATTGCACCCCCACACACAGCCACACCCCTCACAAGCTCCCATATAGACACCCTCCCACACCGCACCATACACACCCCCTCCACCCCATACCTCACCATACGCACACACACCCTACATACAATATACAAGAGTAAGACTTTATTTTTGAGTTATTATGCAATCACTTCCATATACAGTATGGAAACGCAAATCATGACAAATATTTTTGTAGTAAAATTGAAGTATGTTATAGTAGGTGTTTGACTTCTACTCTATGATTTGGGTTTTTTTCTGGTTCCAAGATGGCAACCCTCCCCTCCTTTAAGGAATATTTCCAGGGGGAAGGGGAGGGACTTCTGGTGGCAAAGGTCAGGGGTTACGGGAGCGGGACTTCCAGTCCCAAATATGGCAGCCAGGGGGCAGGTAACTGTCAAGGGGTGGGACTACTGATGAGGCCCTTGACAGCTTACCAAAACTTGTTAAGTGGCCCTCCACCTGAAATAATTGCCCACCCCTGCTATAGGGGATATCTGAAAAAAACAAAGCAATTCTGTTCATAGTTGTTAATGCCAGATAAAGAAACCTACTGGACTGATAACCTGGGAGTACGCAGAGACTAACAGTGCCAGAGAAGTCATGTTTTGCTACATTCCCATTTAAGCTGATAAGCAGAAATGCAGCATCATAATTAGCTCCAAGGGCTCCATGTTTTAAAGTCTTTCAAGATGGCATGCCTTACACTTACTACTACTTAAATTAGATCCCAAGCTGCCTTCTTGTAATTTAGATCCTAATGTGGTGGTCATATATATTATCATTCAACTTTCCCATGTACTTTGAGCACTTATGTTTTGGTTTTAGCCTGTGATAAAGGCTAGAGCAAAGGGGCTAACAATGAAGTTAAGACCTGGATGCACATTTCATCAAAGTAGTGAGATTGTTTGGATCTGTGACATTGGTTCAGACTTGACTTTAATTCCAGTAAAATTAAAAGATATCCGTTTAAGAGAACTGCAGTGCTGTAGATGAGAGCACTTGGCTTACCTTCTCTATCATATATATTAAAAAATGCAAGACGTGCATCCTGCTCTAGAAGAAAATGGACACCATGTAACATATGTTAATTACTTTGCTCAGGGTGCTACTGAAAAGCATGTGGACACTGCAGTGTTAACATGGAATATGAATCTGAGTAGAATTAGACCTGGTTCTCCGCTGTTTTACCGCTTGTCACCATTGACCTGTAGAAAGTAATGGAGGAAGGTCCAAGCCGTCAAGACCTAAAGACCTCTTTCCATTGTTCAGTTTAGGACTTTTCTTAGATCATCTCAATGCAAAATGAAACCTTTATACACGTAGTACTGAGTTTGGAGATTTCCCTCTTTGTTTTCCAGGAGAACCGGGTGATTGTGCTTGTGATGGAGGAGTAAGCATACCTGGCCCTAGAGGTGAAATAGGCCTTCCAGGTTTACCAGGAAGTCCTGGCAGACCTGGACCAAAGGGCTCCAGAGGAGATTCAGGCACAGTGGGTGTCCCAGGGCCACGAGGCCCAGTGGTAAGTCAGCGTTTTGCTAGTCTCCATCAATTCAAGGGGTGGGAAAAAGGTTTGTTCATGTCCTACTGGCTGCCATTGACTAAGTTGAAACTAGGATAATTACTTAAAATAATTTTTCCTGCTTGCCTGGGTAAAAAAGCAAGAACAGTTTGATTTGTGGGAAGATGCTAAAGCTGCAGAGATTTCACCAATACAAAGGAGGGATTCTGTGAACTTCTTATTCAGCTGCTGAAGGCACAGTGCGTATAGCCTCGTACACTGCCAGGAAGACAACCCTGGATGAGCTCTGGACAGGTTGTACATAAAGCTACAGGAACTTGATTGAATCATTCACAAATTTCCTGAAATTCTTTTAATTCATATTTAATATAATATTTAAGGGGAGAAGAGACTTGGTAGAATGCTTTCTGTCAAGTCACTGTGTGCCCTCCCATGATTCCCCACCAACCCTGACTTTTGTATACAGCATAAAGTAAGAGCTCTTTGGTGGTATTTTTAACGGACCATATATGTGGTTGGGAGAGATGTAGGACAACTTCTTGCTGCCACAAATGCCATTTCTCTGGTTTGGGAAAGATAACCTGAAGGACATTTTGTACCCAAAAGTTTGCCCAAGATCTTTCCCAACTACATAGGTGGTCCAGTAAAAGATACTACCACGCAAAACTTTTTGTGAATATTCCCTCAACTATCACAGCAACAATAATACTACAGTGCTACTATACAATAAATACTTCTCTGTGTAAGTTCATGTGCCTGTTTTTAATCTTTCTGCCTACAGGCTTCATCTGGACAACCAGGTCCTCCAGGTCCCAAGGGAGAAAAAGGGGAGCCATATTTTACAACAGATGGTGGCATCCGGGGGGATCCTGGTGTGATAGGACCTAGAGGACCTTCTGGTATCCCAGGAACTCCAGGCCAAGATGGTCTCCCAGGCTTGCCAGGTCGGCCAGGACCTCCAGTAAGTTCATATTTATGTGGCAAGAGTGCTTCAAAACTATAATGTGGAGGAGAAGGAATTACAGGAAAAAAGGTGAATTGTTAGTCATGGCAAACCCTGTTACACGTCACCAGAGAGCTAAAACTTTTCACTATATTCATGTACTGATACGGTATAGAAAGATGCCCTTTGATGTCTTCCTAACGAGGGAGACGTGATAGTGCCAAGTAATTGCTCGTATGTCTGGAAAGGAAAGCATAGCTCACAAACCCTGGGTTTGATGCGTCTCAGCAGCAGCACCTGCTCTAACGCTTTGGTTAGAGAGTGACGAGTCTGGCCTGAGTAAAGCAGCGTACAAATTCCAGTGCTAAGTTTAGGTGAAGCATTCCCAACTCCTGGTTGCCTTCGCAAGGGAACAGATGAAGAATTCTATGCACTCTGTAAGGGACTTGTCTATATTACCATAGTAGTTACATGTAGGAACTAAGATATTATTGATAGTAGTATAGAGAGGGAATGGAAATACATTTATTAATATTTTGGGCCTGATTTTGTTCCTCCTGGAGTTTCTGGGTACCAGACTGTATACTTTGTTAGGCCAGCTACCTAGGGCTTGCCTACGCTACCACTTACAATTACAATTATGTTTTCCCACATAGCATCTAACTCAATGCTGAACTGCAAGGTGCATATGCTGTATGAGTTTCTAAAGGATTCTTGCTTTCTCTGAAAACCTTCCAGCCACTGCTCCCACAACAGACAAAGTGAAGCCAGGGAGATGAAGGTTACAAAGCGGGAGTCAGATATGGGCTGGAATTCGAAGTACCCATTTGGATGATTTATGTGTACTTGCATGCAGCTATACATGTTAATCAGAACACTTTGTTAAAGGAAAGCCGTTCTAAAGGCTGCCGTCCTCCCAGGAATTTCTGTCATCTTCAGGATTAATAATAGCTGCTCTGCACGGCTCCAATTACTCTGCCATGAGATAAACTCTGTCTGAGAGTCTGAGCGTCTTGCAATTTTAAAGGGACAGGTTCTACTTTTGTTCTGTATTTTGTCATTGTTAAAAACAAAAGATGCTGCCTTCGTAATTAAATCAAATACTAAAACAAAAAATGTGATGATTTGTTTAGTTAGAAAGAGATTAATAAGCAAACAAATTTCTAAATGGATACTACTACTCTTGGGGCAAACGTAATGCATTGCTCAGTGTTTTATGTAGTAATAATTGTCCTGCAGTTTGAAATGGCAATGACTGCTGAATTTACAAGATTTCCATGCACTTTCTGAAATGCCCTTGAAACTGGCTGCTAAACATTTAGACTGGCGCCTTCCTTGTTAGTACCACAAGGTCAAATGCAGTTACTTGGAACAGCACAAAATAACCAACCAAATTTTGACACACGGTTTGAAATGATGGCAAGGTTCAATCATTCTATATAGTATTTTGTTTTCATCTGTCTCTGTCTTTGCTATGTGTAGGGTGATGACGGCCTAGGTTTTCCAGGTGAAAAAGGTCTGCCAGGATTACCTGGTCCCAAAGGCCGTCGTGGGGAGAGTGGTCCTCCCGGCATTGGTTTCCCAGGTCCTACTGGAGTTCGAGGGCCTCCTGGTGACCCAGGAATAGATGGATTTCCAGGACAGCCAGGTCTTCCAGGTCCTCCAGGTAGGTTTTTCAGGGACTTACTCTTATGTTTAATAGTTTCAGTCTTCTATCAACCAACTAAGCAAACACTTCACTCCTTAACTGAATTCCCTTACTGAATTTGTAAAATAATAAACTGAATGGTGGTTTTTAAATTGATTGTGCGTGGTCTGTAGGCTTGTCAGACATTAGCCTGCAGTTCTTGCTTACCCAAGTAGTCCTGTTGAAACTGATGGGATTGCTTAAGGAGTATGGACTGCTCGTGTAAATAAAGGTACAAGATTTAACTGCTGTACAAGAACCATTTTTAAACCAGCAGAAAACCTATGGTGATTAGGAGTGTGGTTAACATGAACTTTTAAGTAGAACAGGATACTGTATTATCAGTAAGGATTAATTCAGTAGAGCCTGTGCTTTCTGAATCAGTCTTTAAAATCACTGTTTAATTTAATTGAGAAAAGCTTCATATAATAATCCGGAGTTCAGTGTATGAGAGGGAAATATGTGAAAGAGACAGTAAACAGAAATGCTCAAGGTAACAGATACAGGGCTCGCTTTTGACTAACTAAATCCCGGCTATATTCATCGAGTAATATAAATGATGTGTTCAGTTTAAATTGTCCAGGGAAGAAGCTTTCTTTATTTTTGTACATTAAATGTAACCACACTGCCTGGTACATTTAATCGCCTGATACGAGCCTAGTAAACTAGGGCTTCTTAGGTCATGGTTCAGATACAGGATGTTGTCTGAGCTCCAAAGGAATTGCATGTAATCTTTTTGCTAGAGTTTGGAGAATGGTCTTGCAAGCAAATGCTTGCACAGAAATATTCCCTATTTCTATATTTGAATGTTGGCTTTTCCAAGATAATTTTAACCAAAGCAATATCTTTTCTTTTTCTGCTACTGCTTTTTAATATGTTTTCTACTTTGTGTATATTTAACATTCTATTTTGGTAATACTTACCATATTAGTAATACAACTTAATATATTCACAGGCATAATATCACTGCATATGTATTTTTCCCCAAAACACAGGTCACTGCAAAAATGACATTTAACAGAACACAATTATTCTTCCAGCTACAGTCCAGGAGCTAAAGCCAATGTGGCATGTTTATTGTGTGTATTTAAGAAATGTCTGTGAATATGTTTGGCCTGTAGATTTTTTAAAAAAATGCTTTCAGTTCTGTGGGTTTTCTGACTTTGTTTAACATGTGCTCCTTTGCTTGACTGGTATAGGTGACTGCTGCTGCGGTGAGGAGGTTGGTAAAGGAGTCTTAGACACAGAGGGAGGTGAGAGCTAGGCCTCAGTGGTTGCCAGAATAGCAATGGGAAGATTGCTGTTCTTCCCATCATTGCACAGACACAGACATACTGAATGGCATATTATTACAGCATCACTGTCACCCTTGGCTGTTGTAACAGGCTGAGTTATAGCAACCAACATTGGCATCCCATTGGAACTTACCAAATAATTTTTCCACCAGCCCATGCTATGTGCTAAATGCTAAAAACTCTGCTAACCCATAACTATATGCACTTATTATGCCTCTGCTTATTAAAATGTCTCTTACAATGGCTAAATCCAGATTATATCATAAAACAGCTGGAAGTAGAATGCTTCATGCACTGACATGCACAGCATCATGAATACTGGGGATCATGTAAGATGTACCAGAAGTCAGTATATTATGAGTGTTTCATCAAAGCCTTGCTAACAATGAGTGGCTTTTTGTAGAAGAGTATTTTTAGTCAGGGTATATAGAAAAAGTGTGAATAAGTCATTAGCCAACTCAATTTACACCTTCACAGAGATGTGTGAGAAAACTGTAAGTAAAATGTGTCTTCACTACTAGGAAATCATTTGCTTCTGTTACAAAGATCCTTTGATTTTAAGTTCCATCTAGCATTAAAAGATGTGGGAAGGAATAACTGCTGATTACGCTACACACGTTGGATGGCCTTATTTTGAAGACAATACAATGTTTTTAAAGAGACATTGATCTATTGAAGTTAGCTGGTCAAAGGCAACAACAAGGAATTTAAGATTGCAGTTATAATGGATGAGAGTTTTAAAATATACATTTACTTGTACATCTGAGTCATCCGTACTCAAGTGAGTAGTGCCACTCACTCTTTTTAATTACACAAATTGCCAGAAATGCACATTTCAGACAAGTAAGGACATGGAGTGTGGGTAAAAAAACTTCTGACTTGTTTGTGGGCAGTATTATGAAATTGCTCAGAAATGTGATTGGATTACTCATTTATCACTTACCATACGTTCCAAGGACCTTCCAATGTAGTTTCATAATAGATTTGTTTCACCGGCTTTGGGATGCCATTGTCTGCATTGTAATAACATATAGCATTAAGGAACTAGAAAACACTAAGCCCTGCTCATCTGATCGGGCTATTAGACTCCAGGATTAGGTAAAAAAAAACTATCATTAATTTATTACCATCACCCCTCACTTACCACAAATAAACAAATAACATTTCCATTGTATTATCTACCTGCTGTAGGCAAGTGGCATAAAATATTGAATCGTGTACTGTGCACTGTAATTTCCTGGAAGTTCACATCAGTGGGCCCATAGAGCCATGTGTTTTGCATAGACATATTAATTAAACTGCCCTTTCTGTGCCAGATGCTGCACTGGATTCTCTCATTTTCAAAAAATGTCATTCCTCATTAAACCATGACTGGAGGCAATGTCAGAAATGGATTTTAATTTGCTTTATTTCAAAGCTTGTGGCATCAGGCTCAGGAAGGCAGAATGCCAGATTTTGGGCAGTGGGAGCAGTTTTTAAGAGTTTCTGTGCTCTAACAATTAACTTATCCAAATCATCTCTTGTTAAATATACCTCAGTACAGTCAGCACAGTGAGTGTTATGATGCAACAATCAGGTTCTCCTCTCTCTCAGCCTCCTTTTAAGTAAAAATTAGGCTGGTGTAAGCTGTTTTACCATGTAGAGTGAGCAGTGGCTGTTTTTTTAAGACAGCACCAGCATGAGAGCAAAATGAGTCACAAATTAAGTCTGTTATCAAACAGTGCCTCACTTCAAAGTAAAAGTAACGAAACAAGCACTGACTTTTGGTCCTCCAGAATCAAAGCAGAACATCTCCTGATGTTGTGCACCATGTTGCACATGCACAGCAGTGTCCCAAGCCCAAGTGTATTAGCACCTGTCAAAGGTTGACTTCCCCCTGTTCAGCAGATCTCATTTGCTTTGCTCAGTTCTTCATGCTGAAGTCATGATCTGTCACCAGCTTCAGGAGCTCCTGATTAACTAGGATTTGTGATTGGGGGGTAGGGGTCCCCTCTTTCTGACCATGTGAATCAAAATCCCCAAATCATTGAAGTATTCTGTCTCTGGTTTGGATGTGACCCATGATTCCAGAATTCCCTTGAAATAAGCTTGTTTCACCGGGCCTTTGCCAGACTCTCTTGATAGCTCTCCGCAGGGTTTTGGTGAACAAGCCCAGTTTAGACACAACCAATTTTAAAATCCTTCAGGTTACCATTTTTATTGGTTTTAGGACATTTAGGTTGCCCTAGTTTTTTCCTCTGTTGCAGCTTGAGACCATTGATCCCAGTCTTGTTCTTTACAGCCACAGAGAAAATGCCCATCTCCATCCCCTCTGTAATTGTCCTTAAGGTATTTGAAGACTGTTATCAAATCCTCCCCCCATTTTCTTTTCTCTTCCCCCAAACTAAATAACTCAAGCCCTTTCTGCCTTCCTTCAGAAATTCTCTCTCTAATTTTGTTGCTTTCCTCTGGACTCCAATTGGTCCACATACTTCTTGAAATGTGGGGCCCAAAACTGTACACAGTACTCTGAGGGTGAGGCCTCCCCACTACTGGATAGAGCAGAAGAATTGCTTCCTTTATTTTCCAGTGACGTTGCTATTAATATAACCCGATATAATACTGCTGGCGTTTTTTTGCAACTAAAGCACACTATTGGCTTGTATTCAGCTTATGTTCTACTGTAACCCCTAGGTCCTTCTCAGTACTGAAGCCTGACCAGTCACATTCCCCATCCTGTATTTTTGCATACAATTATTTCATCCCAAGTGTAGGATTTTGTACTTGTCCATGTTGAATTTCATCTGGTTGATTCTGAACCATTATCCCAGTCCATTATGGATCCTACTCCTATCCTTCAGAGTGCCTGAAACTCTACCCAACTTGGTGTCATCCACAGATTTGCCAAGCATGCCCTGAGGCCTATCATCCAAATCATTAATGAAAATGTTGAACAATACCAGACCCAGGACAGGCCCCTGGAGAACTGCACTTGATATCTCCTCCCAATTAGACTTTAAGCCATTGATGACTAGTCATTGAGCATAATGATCTAATCATTATGTAACCACTTTAGAGTGCCTTAATCTGTGAGAAATGGAAGCTGTGGAATGAGATTTGCAGCTGCTGATTCTCATTTGCTACCTAATAAATCAACAGCTGAGCCACATGGATATTTTTCAGACTGACTGACTGACTGCCAATAGGAGAATCCTGTGGACTTCATAGACTTCATAGCTATTAGAGTGGGAAGGGACCTCAGAAGATCATTGAGTCCAGCCCCCTGCCCCAGGGGCAGGAAGTCAGCAGGGGTCTTAGGATCCCACCAAGATAAATATCCAAATTTCTCTTGAAGGCTTTCCAAGTATCTGTTTGAACCACCGCTAATGGCAGGCTATTCCAGACTTTGGGGGCTTGGACTGTAAAGAAGTTCTTCCTTATGTCCATCCTGAAATGGTCTTGGAGGAGTTTATGACCATTCAACCTTGTCATCCCTTGGGGCGCTCTGGTGAACAAACGTTCCCCCAGATCCTGGTCAGCACCCCTTATAAACTTATAGGCAGCCATCAGGTCACCCCTGAGCCTGCACTTTTCCAGGCTGAAGAGTCCCATAGCTCTCAGCCTCTCATCATAAGGTCTGTTTTCCTGACTTCTGATCATGCGTGTGGCTCGTCTCTGGACTCTCTCAAGCTTCTTCACATCCTTTTTGTATTGTGGAGCCCAAAACTGGATGCAGTACTCCAGCTAAAGAAGCAGAATTTGCAGAGGAACTGCTAGCTCTGGTTTAAACCTGTGGAAAGGCTCAGCAGAAAGAACAAACAGAGCAAAGGCTAAGATTGTTCACAAAAACAAATCCATGTCCCAGTTTTGGCTCCTATATTGATTTTTTTTTTTTTTTTTTTTGAGGTGTATTTTATATAGTTAAGCATCCAATAAATACGTTGTCCGAAGCTCTGATCACCCACTAGCTCCCACTGGCTTAAAAATGAACCAATCCCTAGACTGTAAGTTATTTGGGGCAGGGACTTTTCAATGTGCATTGTACAGTCAGTAGTATAATTGGGTCTACATTAATGTTTACGGCACCAGAAACACCTAGTTCTCAGTCCTGTGCCAAACCCGGCCTAGACCTCTATAGTTTATCATCAGTGTTCTTAAAGCATCTCCGCTATTGGATATTATCACCCTACATTCCTTTGCTGAGGCAGTGTTGCACGCTGGGAGATGTGAATATGCAGTGCACAGTGCTTGCCTTGTAGTCTGTAGAGGACATGTGGGCACTAAATGATCTGACTCTAATCCGCTAAACTGAAAGGGAGACACCTTCACTACATTTCTTTTTTCTAGGTATCACCTTACCCTGTGTTTTTCCTGGAGCATTTGGTAACCCTGGATCTCCGGGCCACCCAGGATTACCAGGTATGGAACTGAGAGCGTTTTACAGTCTGTATCCTCTGACTGGCTGGGAGGATAAAGCCTGCAATTGAATCGCTGCTAAACAATAGCTATCACAATAGCTTGATTAAAAGGGGATTGTGTTTCTTCCAGAGTTGCTGGGGTTGAGTCCCACAAAAGCCATATGATCTCTATGGGCCACCACTCTGAATTCTGCAACAGTCAGTGTCATTTCAGATTCTTCTCTTCTGTTCATGCAACTGATCATGGCTTTGGGGGTAGCTAACCTTAGTTCAGTAGATAAGTATTTGAAGGTTAGCTTGGCAGAAGCTGATGTAATTCTCTTGGCAATGATATGCACACGTACCCTTAAATTAATTGATTTTCTTTATCTGCAGGTCGCAAAGGCAGCAAAGGATTTCCAGGTATTTCAGGCCAGCCTGGATTATATGGATCAAAAGGACAACTAGGTTCTCCTGGGTTAGTAGGACCACCAGGTGTTCCAGGTAAGAGAGAAGTTCTCCAAGATCCCTTAATTGTCTTTTTAGCTGTACAATAGTTAATTATAAGAGGTCTCACATTTTTGCATAAAATAACCCCTCTTCTACCTGCTTCAGCTCAGGAATGGTTCAAACCACTGACCTCTCCAGGTGGGATCACTGTTATTTAAGAGAAATTTTCTGTAGTTCTCCACAACCCACTACCAGGTGTTCTGTGAGCACTAACTTTAGTAGGAAATCAGCTTTTAAGCATCCTCAATTCTGAGTGGCTTCCTCAGTCTCATGGTAGCCCCATGCAGTGCTGAGAATCTTCATACAAAGCGTGGGACTCTTCAAGTACTGTGATCTAGCAATAGTTGTAAGTCAGAATACAGAGCAATGTGGCGCACACAACAGGCACAAACTCATAAGGGGAGATTTTTAAATCTTGTTTCTCTTCTGCCTGTCTGTTTCTGTGGAGAAGACTGCAAACTTATCTGACCCATTCCCTGCAGGTTTATCCAAAGGAATTGAAGAAATTATTGTAGTTGCATTAAATGAGCAAGTGTTTTTTTCCTTCCTGCAATTTAGCAAGACCACAGAGCAACACTGTTAATAGTGTCATTTTGTTTCATGATTCCCCACCATTGTTGTACCAATTAATTCAAAGACTTCTGAAGCACCTGTCCCACAGTGCCTGGTGCTGACATTGGGAAGCATGGGTTTCTGGGTAATATCTAGACGCAATTGAGATCGATTGGACGTACAAGTGCAGCTACAACATGTGGCTTCTAGTCCTTACTAGTCAGACAGGGGTTGTAGATCCAGTTGGCTGTAGTCCAGACACTAAGTAATGGCTTTTTCATGCACTGGATTGGTATGCTCCTAAAGTAGAAGAAAAAGCTGGTGTTTGTGGCTGTATAAGCATTACAGCCTCAAAATACTCCTGAACTTCAATTTCATGTAGAATAACTGCATTATTTTCCGTTCTTTCTCTCTCTTTTCCCCCCACTTAAATATTCCAAACTTAAGCCTTTCTTTAGTTTTCGGACAAATTTTTTTCTATATGAAACCAAAAAAATATTTGGTTAGAAGTGCCAATGAGAGTGGATATTCTTTCCTTCTGCTGTGCATTCTGTTGGCTTCTTGTTTTAAGGCTTTCCTGGGATCCGAGGAGATCAGGGCCCACAGGGACTTCCAGGACTTGATGGGACAGATGGTTTACCTGGAAAGGCAGGAACCCCAGGATTAGCAGGTGCAAAAGGAGCCCTTGGTGAAGTGTTTGATGCTGAAAGTGGAGCTCTAGGTGAGCCTGGAGTGCCTGGATTCCCAGGAGATAAAGGGCTTGCTGGGGAACCTGGATTTCCTGGACTGAAAGGTGAGCACCATTGCTGTTGGTTTATAAAGTTTTATACTTCCTAATACAATTGAGAGTCCAGTTTTTCTATTTTTTGGAGCTGCTTGTAGTTCTGGGTTTACTGAGAATCTAGTACAACTCTGAGATTTTTTTAAAATGAAAACGTTACAGCCCTATTCTCACTAGTGCAGTCATGTCCTGACTCTCTGTTTCCAGGTGTGGATGGAAGGCCAGGCTTACTGGGCATTAAGGGCGAACAGGGTAATCCTGGCCTTCCGGGCATTGTTGGAGTGCGAGGACCTCCTGGACCTGGGGGTCCATTTGGCATTAAAGGAAAACCAGGGACAGTTGGAACAGTTGGCCTCACAGGATCACCAGGTATGTAATGTCTTTAGTAAATTCAAGCACCATGGTATTAAGCCAGATTTTAATAGAGTTGCCATGCTAACCTTGGTTACTTCCCAGTGCGAATGGATGGGTATAACTGAGTGCAGAATTTGGGCATGTGGGTTAGACCTCTCCCACCTGGAAATGGGGCCATTATGGTGCTAGCTGTAAGTGGGGTAAGAGAGAGTAAAGCATCTTAAACTTACCATGATTTTTCCCATGACGATGACTGCCGGGCACAGGGCGGCGGCGGCACTCACTATTGTCTGCGGACCTGGAAGTCGTGTCTGACTTGTGGATCGTAGTGTCCTTATTTGCAAAATGACTAGCTAATAATCTTCATTTTCCACTTTGTGATTTAATTTCTAAACTATAACAAATCATTAGACAGTGACTCTCCTCAGAAGGTGAAATCCTCCTGACAGCAATAGGCTGAAAATCACTGAGTTACTTAATACAAATGCTGTACATTCTGTATCACCTGGGGCACAGGGGAAGACCACTATGATTCTCCTTCCCTTAGTGGGGGCAAAAGGCTCTTGATTGGAGTGGGCAAAATATGGCCTGTGGGCTGGATCTGGCCTCCACTGAGTCTTTGTCCAGCCTGCGGTGGGTCCTCTCAGTCCTGCCTGACCCAGGCACTGTCTGGCAGTGGCACGTCCTGCTGCCCCCTGGGCATGCAGCAGAGCTGGGGTGGCTCCACAGTTGGACTGCCTTTCCAGGCAGCCTGGATGGCAGTGGCTCCTTCTGGTTGCTGCCACTACTGCTGGTCCCAACTCCACAGTACCAGCAGGGACCCACACTACACAGTCTTGACCCCATACCTCCTCCAGGCTCACCTGCCTGGGCTCAGCAGCGGCAGCATGGGACAGAAGCTGCTGCTCAGCGCAGGGTAAAAGCAGCCCCTTCCCTTCTGCCACTGCCGGCACTTCCTGAAATAGCTTCTGGGAGCCCATCCTGGGCTGCCCAGCGGTGGCTGGGCAGAGCAAACACAGGGCAGCCCAGCATGGTGCAGACTCTGGGAAGCTATACCAGGAAGCACCAGCAGCAGCAGGGGGGAGAGGCTGAGCAACAGCCTCAGCGCTGAGGCTCCCCCAGCACTGAGCAACAGCTTCTGTCCTGTGCTGCCACTGCTGAGCCTGGGCGGACAAGTCTGGAGCATGCGTGGAGCATGCGGGATCAGGGGTGTGCAGCACTGGTCTCCACCGGTACCATGGGGCTGGGGCCAGTGGCAGCAGCAGCCAGAAGGAACTGCTGCTACCTGGGCTGCCTAGAAAGTCGGTCCAGCTGTGGAGCCACTCCAGCCTTGCTGCCTGCCCAGGGAGCAGCAGGATGCACCACAGGTGGGCAGTGCAGAGTGGGTTGGGTCCAGGCTGTGCAGGGGGCTCCTATGAACACCCCACCATACTTGTAAACCCCACAACCACACCCTCCCCCATACACAATCACACACCCCACAAACACTGAACGCACCCACACCTTCCCCCATATATACCCACGCACATCTGGGGGGAGACCCATGCATTGCTACACACATCCCACCACACACAAATGCACTGACATCCCCCCACAAACCCCATACCTACCCACACACGCACCCACACGTCCCCACAAATACCCCCCCACAAACTTCCTTTACCCATCCATCCATATCCATACACACCCCCACACCCCACATACACACACATCCACACACACACCTATAGCCCTCTACAAGCCCCATACCCACCCACCCTTACCCTTCTACACTCCCCCACCCACAGTATACAAGAGTAAGACTTCATTTTGAGCTATTATGCAATCATCTCTATATATGCAACAAAACACATGCAAATCATGACAAAAACATTTCTTAAATAAAATCAAATGATGCTCTTGTCA